GAAGAAGTTCAAAGACAAAGACTCATCCCTTAACCAGGAAGACCCGTAAGGATTGCTTAACATTCCAATGTTCAACCTAATATGTGGATCTGTAGTGAGAAACTACTTGTGTGTATGGGTGGAAAGCTAAAGAAAGAAGATAAATCTAAATGAGAATAAGTGGGTATGGTGTGAATGGATGAAAAAAGATAAGTAAAAGGACATCTGATAATTGTCTTACGTAATTTCACTAAGTTGCTTTTTGGTGTCTGCTTTTTCAGATGAAAAAAATGTTATTTGTTCGTTTTAAAGTATTTTTAAAATGCACCTGTGACTTTCGTTAACTTGTTGGTTTAGATATATTGAATTTTTTATGTTTGTGAGGGTTTCATCCGTTATAATAATAATTAAATTATTCTTATTTTCTCATATTTTCTTAAGTTAAAACAAAAAGGTTTTTTTATTTTAAATGAAACAACTATTTCAAAAATTCAAAAAATTATTGGGTCTTGTCAAGTTTTCACTTTACTCATATTAAATTTTTAGTATAAAATTACCTAATATTTAAATTATGAATTTATACTCATGAGATATGATTAAATAGGTACAGCATAGTATAAGTCAGTGATGGAAACCAAACAAACTTTGGGGCAGTATGATGGGAAAGATTTTGGCTAAATGGTCATATCACACTCGATTATGTCGTGTGAATGACGTGGAGCTAATGGTAGGAAAATATGATGATGATCATGGGAAACAAACCCATGACATGCATGATGGCTTATGTATACATGAATTAAGGGCAAAGCGTGCCCAAAGGTAGTGGCAGCCAATGATGGTTACTAAAACTTCCCCAATCCTTAAAAAATCCTCTAAAATATCTTAAATAATTCTCTCTCTCTTCCCCCACCCCACACCCCACACCTTTTCTCATTTACTCCCACAATCACATCAATGCGCGTGCGCGACACATTCTCCCATCCGCACGAACACATGATTACGTCCGAACTTTTGACTCCCCCCACACGGCCTCGCCCCGCTTAAGAAATCCCAAAACATGCGAAAGTAGGTTAGTTCGGTTGATATTTTGATTGGTGCGTGAGTCTCACGAGCGTGAAGATGAGCGTGCGAGCAAAGTAAGGTGAGGAAAAATTGTATGTCGCGTTCTGTACCCGGCAATCCAAAATTAAAAGCCGCTTTCCTGTCCCCCAGCACATCATATCACTTTACTCTGTTTTTCTTTGTCCCCTCCCTATTCTCACCCATGAACTCATCCCCTCTACGTAACCCTAAGCCTAATCCATACCCTAACCCAATTGGTAATAGTTGCTATATATATATTTTTTAAAAATTTATTTTATAATTTAATATAAAATTTAAATTATATTAAATTATAAAATATAAATTTAAAATAAAATATAAAATTTTTTATATTAAGTATTTTTTAAAAAAATTTAAAAATTTATTTTTTATAATTTAATATAATTTAAATTATAAAATAATTAGTTTTTTTAACTTAAATTTCATTAGATAATACTTTTGATTTTTTAATTTATAGTTTTATATTTTTTATTATTTAAAAAATATAAAATATTAATTATAATAAATATTAAATATATTTTATATTTTTAAATATTAAAAAAGAACTTACAACTATAACTACAAATTAATATTATCAGACCAAATCTTTAAAAATTTTGTTTCTTAATAACTTTCTCAAGAGAATGGAGGAATACGATAACACAACCAAGTTTAATTTATTGATTTACTCTCAAAATTCTTAAGATAAGGTTTATCTACACCGATATAGTTTGGATTTGGTAAGATAATTTATTACTTTTTAATATATTAAAATAAGTGATCAAATTTATGAAAAAAAAAGAGAGAAAATATAAATTTAAATTCTTATAATGAGGGTGTAAAAATGGTAATGTAATGTTAGTATATGCTTTTTTTTTTTTATGTTAGTTACACAATAAAAAAGAATTATTTCTAATTTTTTATTTTATTTCATTTATATATTATATGATTTAAATTTAAAATTTTTTAATTTTAATAAAAAAATTATTATTAAACTATTTAAATTAATGTGTTTTTTCTTTTAAAAAAAACCATAAAAGCTTATTGTAAATTTCATACTAGTATTTATAGGTGTGGGTGATTTTCCAATGATACCCTTATGTTTTACAGAGTGGGGCCCAATATTTGGTGGCCTAAAATCATGTGACAACAGTAGTAGGTGGGCTCCATTCATGTGAGTGGAGGGGTAATCGTGACATTAAAATTACATACTCCAA